AGCGATCAGGAATGCCCTTCCACGTGCGTTCAATGAGTTTGGGGTTCTTGACATCAAACTCAAAGTACATGCCCTCACCGTCCTTGCCCTGTTTGACAACCTTGGCCATTTTGCGCCACTTCTCGGAGCGCTCCCACTCCTTCTTCTTGATGGCTTCGGAGATCTTTTCGACCTTCTCCTCGTCTTCCATGCCCGGGGCAAGTGTCAGCATGTCGCCGGCCTCGTCCATCCACCGGCGGTTGCGGTTGTGTGGCAGATAGTTGCTGGCCTGGCGAATGGCAGACCGCGTGGAGCGGCGCGAGCGCACCGACAAGCCCGAGTTCTGTGTGTTCAGCGATCGGGCTGACACCTTCCTACTGGGCGAGCGGCCGCCGGCGCCGAGATGGTTGGAGAGTCCGCCGGACGGATCGCGCTTGATCAGCAGGTTTCTCCTCCTAGGAGCATACTGCGCAGACTTGAGCTCGGTGGGCGTGTCGACGCGCGAGTCTGGGTCGCGGGGCGGGGCGATGAAGCCGTAGCGGTCGACATCGGCATTCTCAATGTCCTCCCAGTCTTCAATGCCGCCGGCGCGTTCATGTTCGCGGCGCGCGGCCTGCTGCTCGGGTCGGGAGGACGAAGAGGTTGCGGAGCGCGGTGTAGGCCACGCGGGAGGAAGTTGCAGTTCGGAGACCCTGAGGAAGAGGATCAAGGTCAGTGGGTGTTCGAGGCGAAGCAGAAGCAGGCGACAAGGAAACCATACGGGTCATTCTCCAGCTCCTCGCTCGGGACGGGTTCATTCTGCTCGCCGAGCGGGGAGAGGCGTCCTCCGTCTTCCCAATTGGTGACATCGCCAGATTCATAGAGCGATCTCACCTTTTGCGAGTCCTTCTCAGCCTCGGGGGACAAGAGGCGAACGCTGGGGGTGGTGGTGGTCTGGGAGGCCGTCTCGAGGGCAGTGTCGCTGGTGGCGGTGGTGGTCGTCATGGCGATGCTGGGACTGGCAATGTCCTCGGAGTGCGCCTTCTGCGACACGGCGGTCGGCGGTGGGGGCACGTCGCCCTCGGCCTCCATGGTGCTGTCGGTGGGCTGGGAGACTGCGCGTCGACCGCTGAACATGACACTGCCGCGTTGGGAGAAGCTCAGGTTGGAGAGGAAATCATCGTCGAGAAAGGCGTCGTCCGGGATGGCGATGGAAAGGGGCGAAAAGTCAGGGTCGGCGGGGGCGTCAGCGGGCAGGTGCGGCGACGGCGACGAGGCGACGGCGACAGGGGACAGATTAGGCGATTTCTCGCTGGTGCTGGCTGGGGAACTGGGATGGTCATGGAGATTGTGATGCGGGACGGGGCTGGCATGCTGCTGGCCCTGGCACGCTGCGGGCCCCCGCGAGAGCAAGGGCATGGGGGCGGCACTTGATGTGGCTGAGATGGGGCTTGTTTCTTCGCTTAGCGAGTGCTGTTTATTTCGTTGGAAACGTTTGGTCGTGTTCAGGGTTCGCAAGCTGAGGCTCTTGATGAGTCGGCGGGTCGATGTAGGTGCGAACGGTGGCGGCGGCGGCGGCGGCGGCGGAGGCGGCGCTGACTCTCCTACGATGATGGATGACACGGTTGACGAGGTGACGCTGGCGATAGGGAGTGGTGAGGGCAGGGATGGATGCTCGGGCTGATCGTCGGTGGAGTAGACTGATTCCGTGTCGTGAAGGGAGGGTGGGGAGGGTGTCGGTGCTGTGGTCACGGTGACGCCGGCTTCAAAATGCTTGTCGTACAAGGCAATGTCGTGGAGCTTGTCCCTGTCCTCGTCGTCGTCGTCCTCGGCCTCGTCGTCAAAGAGGGTGGTTGAGGAGGTGGTGCGTGCGAGGCCCGAGTCGCGCTTCCACGCCTCTTCGGGGGGGATAGATGTGTCGCGGCTGGCAAACAGACTACGGAGGGCGGGGTGCTGCTCGTTCGGTGGCGCGACGACGACGACACGAGAAGGGGGGGTACGGGCGGCGGAGGGAGATGTGGGCGGGCGCGGCGCAGACCTCGTTGTAGTGACGGATGTTCTTCTGCTCGAGGTCAAGTTGGTTGTTGAGGTGTTGGGGGAAGTAGGTGCAGTTCCAGTTCCAGTTCCAGTTCCGGTAAGGGAGCGAGGTGGCATCAGAATAGGTGGTGCGGCCTGCACTGTGTTCTCGTAGCGAAAGGCCACGACGTCGCTGAAGATGGAGGTGACGCTGAGGGGAAGCGGCATCAGGGCCGACGGCTTGTGCCTCGTTGCCCTCGGGCTGTTGGAGTTGGTCGCGGTGGGCATCTAGGAGGGTGGTACTGGTACTGCACTGTGGCGTACGGCGGTATGGGTGGGGATCTTGATTGATGCCGTGCTAGGGGGGGTGCACAGAGGACGATCGCCGGCAAGAGGGCAGATTAGCCTCGTGCGTGCCTTGCAGTAGTAGGCGTGTAAGATGGGACGGTGCGCGGGGAAAGCTAGTCGACCTGTAGCTGGGAGGGTCTGTGCTAAGGGCCCTGGAGGTAGCAGGGAGCTGAGCTTCGTCTCTTGGCTCGGTATAGCTCAACGGCCTATAGGTAGCTCAGGTGTGTATGGTGGTGCGTGGAAGTTGGAGGTGGTCCTGTCGCTAGTTGGGAGGGGTGAGGACGAAGCAAGGAACGAGCGTCGGGACGGTGCGGTTTCGTGGTGAATCAGAGGGATCGTGAGGTCGTTTAAGTGGGCGAAAGGAGATGGCGTCGAGGGCGTGAGCGTCGTTGATTTGTTATTGTTGTTGTTGTTGATGATGCTGATGCTGATGATGATGCTTGTTGTTTGTTTGCGGTTAATGGTGGGATGAGATGATGAGACGATGAGACGAGGGACCGATCGAGGGAAGCGACGAGGGAGAAGCCAAGGGGGAAAAAGGCTCGATATTATAGACAAACTAGTCGAACCAAAGACCCAAAGCAGTAACCCAGGATCCAGACAGACCCAGGCAGACCCAGATCGTCGTGGTGTCTTGTTGTTGATCGAGGTTCCGAGTCAATAGATCCCTTTGACAGGAATAGGGTCAAGTGCCCCTTGCTTCTGCTCGGCTGAGAAGCCTCTGTGATCCCCGGATTGGTGTGTGTGGGTGTGTGTGCCTTGTGTCGAGAGCTACAGGGAACAGATGCTTTGGGAGCCGGAGAAGCAAAACAGAAACAAAAGGCCATGGATGCATGGGGTCCAGCTGATGGACGTTTTGTTTTCTCTTGCGCGAGCAGCTCGTGCTTTTTTTTTTCTTTGTATGTGTCTTGCTCTGTCAGAGATCGTTGAGGCGATTCTGGTGCTGCCGCTGTTTCCTGCTGCGGCTGCTGCTGCTTCCTGCTGCTGGCAACTCGCTGCAAACGATGGATGGAGAAGGAGAGGGGCGTCTTAGGGCGTCCCCCCCATGATGCCATGGACTTGAAGACGACTTGAAGACGACTTGAAGACGACTTGAAGACGACTTGCGGGGCTGCGCTGCCAATGGGCGTTTGAAGCGGTATCTTGGGTGTCACCGCTCGGGGCATTGTGCAACTGCCGCCAAACCACATGCGCCTATTGTGCTCTATTGTCCATGGCGCTTGCCGTCGCCAACGCAGAGAACGTGACATGCCACCTCACCTCACATTGCCTCCTCACCTTGGGTCATCACGAACGGAACCTTTTCCATACCCGCTCTACCCAATGCTGCTTCATGGCTCATGCTTCATGGCTCATGGCCCTCAACCTTGGCCTGCCAAGCAATTCACTTCTCTTTCTTACACCAAGCACAGGTCACACGCGCCCCACGCCATCCAAGCTCAAGCCCAACTGCCGTTTGCAGGCCTTGGCCATCCCTCTCCCAGAACCTCACCTCCAGTCTCCCCTCAAACCTCCCCCTCCATCATCCGCTCTCCTCCATCAGGCCTTCTCCGATCAAAATCTAAATCATCCCCAGATCCAGGCAAAAAAAAAAAAAAAAAAAAAAAAAAACAGGCGCAGGCACACAGCCGTCAATGCAGGTACTATGACCGGCTGACACCATTTCCGAACCCACTGTCTCGGTTCGCCCGCCAAAAGAAAAACCACAGCCCGCCCCCAGCTGGCCAGCGATCTGCCTCCCGAGGGCACCCACAGGACCACTTGCGCATCAGCTTCCATTGACCTCGTCTCCACTCCTGAAGAGAGAGAGAGAGAGAGAGAGAGAGAAAAAGAGCATCAGGTAATCAATAATCCTCTCCAGGGCCCCCTAGGCTCCTAGGCCTCCCCGGGGAGAAAAAGAAACACGCCTCGCAGGACAAAGTAAGTCGGCAATCTACAAGTCGGCCAATCCCGCCCGAGCCAATCTTTGCCGAACCTCTCTTCAGCAAGCGATCTTTTTTTTCTTTATCGACAATTTTTTTATCAATCAGATATCACAACGCTCCGTCCAGTCAGCTCGAGGAAGAAAAAAAGACGTTGTCGAATTGGTGCATGATTGACGTGGCAGGCCGTGTGTCGTTGGCCTCGGATGACAAGCGACGTGAGAACCAGTCAGGCACGCACGACTCGAACGCCCACGGCTTGGCTCGTCATCTCCTCTGTCCCCCCTTCCGAACCGTGCTTCTTCACCTGCCGGCCCGTTCCTCTTGATCTCTGACCCTGTCTGCATATCATACTTACAGAGAGAGCCCTGCAACGTGGATTTTCTTTCTCCTCGTCACACACACGCGCGTAGGAACGTGTCACAAGCTGAACTGTTCTCGTAGATACGGGAAGCTCATCTGAAAAGGGGGAGGCCACTGAGGACCGGAAAAAAAGTTTTCACTATTGGGGGATCTTCACCACTGGCTGTTGCCCACATGTTCTTCCTCGCCGTCGCCAAGATTCATGTCGTCGTCGCTTTGCAATTGTACTGACAAACGCCTGTCGCGCCGCCCCCGGCTCTTCTATTCATGCCTATCCACCACCACGCCTAGAGGCAGCAGGTAGCGAGCTTCACCCCGCGGGAACGAGCCGAGCCTAATGAGCCTTTAGGCCTTTCGGTATCTTACTACACCTCCTCGTTCTCCCAGTCCTTCTCACTGAACATGGGACCCTTTCGTGCCCCGCTCGCTTCGAGCTTGGCCAGAAACTCCGGTGGCACCGTCGGGATGTACTTCCTCTCCCTCTCCCGGTTGAGCCCGCCAAACCCGGCCCCAAACGAAACGAGCATGTCTGTGACGCTCGGCAACGAAAATGGCAGCATCAGCGCCGGGTCGAGCAGCAGATTCTCCGGCACATCCTCCTCCTCTTCCTGTGGTCCGTCGTCCGTGTGGGGGGGACTTTTGTTGTTGCTGCGGCGTGTCAGCTTCTGCCGCCGCCGCCGCCGCCGCCTGCCCCTTGACCGGCGTCGCTGGCGCGCTCGGCGTCGTCTTGGGAGGCGCCGGTGACGCCCCACGGCTGTGGCGGTTCTCCTCCTTGCGCCGGTCGTGCTCCTGCTGTATGGCGTTGAGGTACTTGAGCGCGCTCTTGGGCAGGCCCTTTTCGCCGACCTCGGGTCTGTAGTGTTGCGCCGCGTGGATGAGCTGCTGCGGGCTCATGCGCTTGAGCTGCTGCAGCGTGCCGACGAGCGCCTCGAGATCGTCGGCGTCGAGGGACGAGAAGACCTGCAGCCACTGCAGCAGCTGAATGACGGGCGCGAGGTGCCGCCGTGCGGCGTCAATGGTCGTCTCGCCCGTGGACCGCGTCTCGCCGCCCTCGTAGTGTTCGGGCTGCCTGTTGTTCGTGCGCGCCCAGTCCTCGAGCAGGGAGACGTTCATGCGGATCTGCATGGCTTTTGTGCGCGCGAGGTATTTGCGGTTCGACATGATGCGGTTGAACAGCTCGGCGCCGATCCAGTACAGCAGCTGCGACGTAATCTGTGATGTGATGACCGAGTGTATGTCGTAGAGGTCGAGAACGAAGAGCGTCGACGAAAGCAGCGACGTGACGTTGCGCGGCGCCGGCTTGGCCTTTTGCTTGGGCGACGGCGGCCGGAAGCGCTTCTCGATCGGCTCCTCCTTGACCTGGGTCTTGCGCTTGAATATCCTCCACTCGTTCTGAAACGTAATGTTCTCGAACCCGGGAATCGTCTCGTGGTCGAGCATGGCGGCGTCGAGCACCTTGTCGAGGCGGCGCTCGGCGTCGCGCACGATGAGGATAAAAATCTCGTTGATGAGCTCGGCGAGCTGCGCCTGGAACTCGCCCGTCGCCTCCATCAGGCCGGCGTCCTTTTTGAGGTAGTGCAGCAGCAGCGTCGCGTTGGAGATCCAAAAGGCGAGGATCGTCATGTCCCACTGGTACTCCTCGACGACGTCGTTGATCTTGTCCATGGCCGAGATGAGCAACTTGGCCAGCAGGTCGGCGCTCGCGTGGTAGTGCGCGTACCGCGCGCTGAGGAAGATCATGTTGGCGGGGACCGGCTTCTGCGTCGGCGACCGTTGCGGGCGCATGTTGGTGATGACAATGTCGAGGATGCGGTCGAGCTCGTGCTCCTGGAAGACGAACATTTGGTCGTGCAGGCAGCGGCTCCAGTCAAACTCGGGCTGCTCTTCCTCGAACTCGTCGGGTTCCTACAAACGCTGTCAGCAGTCTTTCTCCCCCCCCCCCCTTTTTCTTTTCGAGCAGTCCTTGCGTACCTCTGGCTGGTCGTCGATGCCGACATTGCCAAGGTCGACCTCGAGGTCGCGCGCGCTGTCCATCATCATGCGCCTGCGCATCTCGTTCTCGGCCATCTCCTCCTCGAAGCGGTCCTGCTCGAAGCCCGGGTTGTAAAAGTCGTCGGTCCCCGCGTTGCCAATGTTGTAGCCGCTGTCGTGGAGGTAGAAGGACATGTCGCTGTCGGGCGGCACAAAGTCAAAGGCCGTGCGGCCCGACGACGTCTTCTGCTCGGGCGACGCGCCGTTGTCGAGCAGCATCTTGGCGATGCCCTTGTGGCGGTTCGTCATGGCCCACATGAGGGCGCTCCACTGGTTGCGGTCCTGGCGGTCGACGTCGGCGCCGCCGTCGATGAGCGCCTGCACGACGCCATCGTGGCCCTGTGTGGACTGTCAGCCGGCTCGGCCTCTCTTGCCTCTGCGTTCCGGTTCGGCTCGTGGGGATGCGATGTCTGGTGCGTCTGGTCAAGGGGCAAGGGCAAGGGCAAGGGCAAGGGGTAAGGGGGATGGGGCAAGGGGAACGGGTCACGTACAAAACAGCTGGCATAGATGAGCGGCGTCGTGCCGTCCTCGTCAGCCGCATTAACGTCAAGCATAGCCTTGGCCTCGCCGCCGAGGAGGCGCTCGACGCGCTCGACGTCGCCGTTGCTGGCGGCCATGTTGAGGGCCTTCTGCAGCATGTCGCGGCGCTCGGCGTCGGACAGGGCGTCGTCGGCGAGGATGGCGGCCTCGTCGCCAAAGTTGGGCGCCGCCTGGTGGGCGGCCTGGGCGGCGAGCATCTCCATGAGGCGCGTGTCGCTGCTGGCGGGGCCCTTGGCGGCGGCGGCGGCGTCGTCGTCGTAGGCGCGGTCGTCGTCGAGGGTCAGGTCGGTGAAGGATAGCGGTTTGGCGAGGATCGGGGACGTCAGGAACTGGGACTGGCCTGTTTGACAGGGACACGCCGTGTTAGCCTTGCAATGTGTGCGTGTGTATGGTCTTCTTTCGTCTCCTCATGCCCGGCACCGGTGTTGGAATGGATGGGTGGGATTGGGATATCTGGGCCGGGAGAGCAAGGGACGAAAAGGAGAGGCAAAAGCGGACAGAGGGAGGGTTCAGAGACATGCCTTGCCAGCCATCATACATCTCGGTCTCCTGGACCAGATCCGTCGGCCGCTGTCGCCGGTCGTTGAGGGAGGTGGGGAGGTCGGCGGGCAGCGCGCGAGGCATCTTGTGCTGCTTGTGTGCGCCGTTAGAATCCCCCAGATCCATGAAGAATGGAGGGGTGGCGTGGCGTCCGGACGAGGGTCGGCATAGGCGGTGGGTGGTCTGTGGTTGTCGTGAGGGAGGCTTGGGGGGGGGGGGGGGGGCAGTCGCTTCGACGAGGTCCGTCGGAAGAGAGGTTCGGACCGGGACTGCTTCGTGCTGACGAGGCGTCTTCAAGCAGTTTGGAGATGTAGTGTGTTGTGATGCCTCGGGATGCCAATGTCGAATGTTAAGCGGGCATCCAACATTGGGGGGGGCCATAGTTAGTGGAATCGACGCTTGATGTCACTTGGGCGAGGCCCACTTCTGATGACCCGTTACGGCCACTGCCCGCCAGTGCCACAGACGGTCAATGCCGTGCCACAGACAGTCAATGTCTCGTCGTTCGGTCCCAGATGCACGGTGCCACCCGTGCGTGCTGTGAGAGTGCTGTGAGAGTGCTGTGAGAGTGCTGTGAGAGTGCTGTGAGACGCCTACAAGGCCAAGCCAGGCCATCCAGAGGACAAGCCAGGCCATCCAGAGGCCAAGCCAAGGCGGCCGAAACATCAATCTGAAGCACCCCTTTCCATTCCGCTGGATTTCGGCCCTGGATTTTTACGAGCATCGCTTTTCTTCACTTTCTTCACTGGCACGCGTGGCTACTATTTTTCATGGATGGATCGTGGATGTAGGCTCATGAGTACTCCACGCCCTACAACACAAGACGTCCTGACTCCTAACAGCTAGTCACCCCCTCATGCCCGCTTGCCGTACACACGCACCCGCTTGACACCGCCGTCGGGAATGATGACGAGCTTGACGTGCGTCGTCACGGCCTCCTTCAGCAGGCTGTCAAACTCGTGCTCAAAGTCCGCCTTGCACTTGCTCGGCGCGACAAGCGCCTTCCAGCCCTCAGCGTCGACACCCGGCTCACCGCTGCCCTCCCACTGAATGGCCTCGAGCTTGACTTGCTGCGGGTAGTTGCCGCGGAAGTACGCCGTGTCGACGAGCAGGCTCTGCACGCGCGTCGGCGCCCCCAGGCGGATGATGGCCCAGTCGACGTGGTCCTTGCGCCTCGAACGCGCCGTCTCCCATCCGTCGCCCATGTCCTTGCCGCGTCCGGGGAGCAGCAGGTTGTCCTTGGTGCCAAAGTGCTGGTCGCTGCACGAGATGGCGACGCCGCCGTTCTGCGCCGACGCCAGGTCGAGGATGGCCTCCTTGTCGTCGGGGAACACGGGCACCGCGTGGCCGAAGAGGCGGAACCGCGCAATGCCGCCGTCGGGGTACATGTTGAGGCGGACGTGCGTGTACTTTTTCGTCGTCGGCACGTCGAGCTTCCACCCGAAGCGCTGCGAGGGGCCGCACTCCTCGATGCCGAGGATCGTCTCCCACCCGCCGCGCTCGCCCTTCCACGAGACGACCTCGTCGTCGTTGAGGTTGTACACGCCCTCGACCGAGATGTGCGGCGCGTGGTTGCCGTTGAAAAAGGCCGTGTCGACCTCGATGCCCTCGACGGTGCCGGAAGCGACACCGAGTCGGAGGATGACCCAGTCGAAGGGGGCCGTGTTGTGGCGGCGCGTCTCCCATCCGTCGTACCAGGCCCCCGTGTACACCATCTTGCCGGGCTGGCGGATGGGCGGCGTCGGAGTGATGAGGTTCTGGGCCTCGGCGAACCATTCGTCGGAGAAGGCGAGAATCTTGCCGCCAAGCGTGCCGGAGACGAGATCTGCCCGCGTTTGTTAGCTGAGGCGAGCCAGGGGAGAGAGCCAGTCAGAGACCAGCGGCGCATGCATACCAATGGAACTGGAACGGAAAGTCGTGTCAATGTCGTCGGGCGCAATGCGCGTCGCCTTGATCGACTCGAGCTTATACTCCTGCGAGGCCATGGCGTCGGTGGTTGTGGTAGTGGTCATGTGGTGGGGGAGGTGTTTCGTGTGGGGTGATCTGATGGTTCGATCGATAGACAGCACAGCAGCAAGATGGTATCACAAGAATGAGAAAATGCAGCAATGGCAATGGTAGCGAGTTGAGAAAGGAGGACGAGACAAGACAAACGAGTTCAATGGCGATTACGGCGAGGTTTTAGGCCTTGTCGGCCACTTCCGACACCGGTCAGTCCCGGGTCACCTCCAGCACTCTCGACCCCTCGACTCGACCCCTCCAACCCCGCCGCTCCACATCGACGCCGATGGGGCTACGGGTTGTTGGGAGGTTTTCCCATGCTGCGCATGCCCGCTTGCCCGCGGGCGCGGCGCAACGCGGGGTGACTTGCGCATGGGGATAGAGGCCTCGAGCCAATGGGTGCGGCCGCAGATGGCTTCATCTGAGGCCGGAGGGTGCGCCGTCGGCGTAGGGGCAGGTTGCCGGAGGCGGCGTGGGGAGCAAATGTTGGTGCCGAGGACGATAGGTGACTCGAGGGCCTCTCTGAGGGGGTCTGGCGGTCCGGTGCTATCGGGTGGATGGCGCGTGCTTGACGCGAGTACTGGGAGGATTGGAGGTGTTTGCATGGTAGCCTTGGGCTGCCCCGCAGCACGGCTCAGCGGCTTTTTTTTTTGGCGCCCAAAGGCCGCGAAGGGAGTGGATTTGCTGATAGTTACGCCATCTCATCAGGTGTCATAACTGAGGAACAGACCCGGGGGGGGGGCGTTCTGGGGTCTTTATATCCACGGGGATCCAAGGCTGATGCACCTACTCGACGCATCGGCTCCATTGTCGGCAGGGTCCGATCGATTCTCTTTATCTCTTGATCGTGGAGAGAAAGCTGGGGTCATGCAAATGACATGGACACGTAGCTGAGACGGGTTGGCGAGTCGTGGCGGACCCAGATGAAGCTGTCGATGCATTGTGCTTTTGTATCATGTCGGTGCTGCCACCCAGAGTCTGCGGTGGACATGGAGAAGTTGAATTGCCATTCTGCTGCTGCTGCTGCACACGACCCAAAGACCAAGGCAAAGTCGGCACGCACAACCATGACGGCAGGTGCAGCCAGAGCACCTCATTCCCCTACCCCGCCACGAGCATGTCCAGGGGGCCGTAATGGCCGCCTGTTGATTGGCTCTCTCACAAACCTAGCATCATCGATGTTTGAACAAGTGAGTTTGACATGAACACGACTGACCGACTTCCTGTCTGTCATCCTCCCGTCTTTCGTCTTCACTTTCTCTGGCTCTCACGTCCATCGTCTGCCTCTGTCAAAAGCGATCACCCCATTCGAAATATGCCTGAACACGAGCCCTCGGCCACGACGCCGCTTCTTGGCGGATTCCGTCGCTCGCAGCCAACAACAGCCAAAATCTGGAAGAACCCCATCATCGGTATGTTCGCTGTGTCACAAGCTGCCTCAGCCGCCGCTTCGACTGTTTGTGACATGCAGAACCAGCAAGCTGACCTCCCTAGATTGGCCCGGAATCACCGCCCAAATCCTCATCCTCGCCCTCGTCGCCATCGTCTGGTCCTACATCCTCGCCCACCCCGTCATCCTCTTCACCGGCCACCCCCTCGCCCAGTCACTGGCCATCCTCATCCTGACGCAGTCCGTCCTCGTCCTCCAGCCGACGCACGACGCGGCCCAGAAGCGCCAGGGCCAGCGCGTCCACGCCGTCCTCAACCTCGCCGCCTTCCTCCTCCTCGTCGCCGGCGTCACCATCATCGAGGTCAACAAGTTCCGCTCCCACGGGCCCCACTTCCACTCCCTCCACGGCTACCTCGGCGTCCTCGTCGCCGCCCTCATCGTCCTGCAGTACCTCGTCGGCTTCACCATGTGGGCCGCGCCCTCGCTCTACGGCGGCGACGACCGCGCCAAGGCCGTGTGGAAGTACCACCGCGCCTCGGGCTACGGCCTCTACGTCGCCCTGCTCGCCACCGTCCTGACGGCCGTGTGGACCGACTACAACAGGAACCTCGCGCGCATCCCCGCCTGGCTGCTCGTCGTTGTCGAGGCCGCGCTGCTCGTCGTCGTCGTCCTGAGGGTCAACCGCGCCAAGCTGCCTTTTGGCGCCCAGAAGGACCAGGGGACGCAGGTGGCCGTTGCCGGTGGGGATGAGCACTAAGTCTTCATTCCTGCCCTGTTTTTTTTCCTCTTTCCAAAGGCAAAGGCCCGTATTCCTTGAAAGGGGGCCAGGAGGTATTTACACGACGTCTTCGCTGTGTGCGTGTGCAGTTCGTGTGAGGTAGGAGTCTCTGGGGTATTTCGACGGGGGACATCATTTCAAATCTTGTTTATCGGCATCCGCCTTGGTACCGTTGCCCTCGGGAACAGGTTTGGTTGAAGCAGCGGTGGATTCTGCCGCCTTAAGGAAGGACAATTATTAAATTAGCAAGCAGGCATTTTTGCGTTCATTTTCCATGAAATCTTTCATCACTCTCCAATAAATACAAACAAGGAGACGCAGCCGCCCCCCCCCGGCCCTGAATGAGCAACGCATCATCATCATGCCGTTGGTTCCAGGGACCCGTCAATGGTTACTTGGCCATGCCAACGGGCCCCCTTTCTAAAGGTCGTACTATTGACAGGAGACTCGTATGGGCAGCGTTGCGCGTTCCACCCAAATGCAGGATTCAGGGTCACTTTGGCAAGATGCAACCGGGAACCATGGCTGGGTTGATCCGGGGAGAGGGGGGGGGAGGGGGGCATGATCATGACCCCTCCCCAAAAGCCCGCCCACGGGGTCCTATATCAAGCTTGGCATATAGCCTCCCATGGTCGTGGACAGAGTCATGTCGGGGTAACTGTGCATGCCCGGATGCGAGGGGCATCTTGGAGTGTTCATTTCTGCTGCAGGGCATACTTCGTATCTGGCCTTGTTTACTCCCATTTACAGGCTGGTGGTCTCTGGCCGTGCGCAAGCAAAAGACCAATGTAGTGTAATAAAGGTTGTCCAAGGTACCGGTGAGGCTCCGCTCGATTACCCTCAGCGCATGTCCACAGTCCACCATTTGACGGATGGCAGGCTGAGCTATTGGGACCCGCTGATTTGACAGGAGAAACAAGCGTATTAGATGGAAACCGGCCTGCCCTGACAAAACCTCACAATAATGTAATCATGACCTCATCGTCGCAAGTACCATGTCAAGCAAGTGTACATAGTACCAGAAAGACACAAGTTGGGGGAGAGGGGGGACGATAACTTGTTCACAGTCCACGTCAGCAACCAACTCCATGTATCTCGGCCCGATGAATTGCTGGCATGCGCAAACTCCACGATCGTGGCTGCGGTGGTGACTGCCGCCTCCGCGCGTCGCGACCTGCGGCAGTGATAGTCGTCTCGCGGCAGATCGTGCTGAACAGTTTCCATCACTAGTGCCGAAGCCTTTGGTTCGCTGACTCAGTCAACAGGCCCTGTTTCTGGACTAGCTGTTCCGTCCGTTTTTTTTTTTCTGTTCAGTCTGATCAGTGGGAAGAACAGGGCCGCCACGCGACGTACGTTCACATTCCACCCTACCGCCCGTCACGCTACGCCCGTTGCGTCGCAAGACTTTGGTGGACGGTGGACGGCAAGACGAGTTCGGGGGGAGCAAGGGTGGCGGCTCGGCGCCGCCCACGCCATGTCGCACCCTCTACGTCATGTACGGCGATGCCATGCCTTTTGCTGCAGGGGGTGGTGGTCATGCGCCTGGCCAACGGGAGGGCGCCGCCGGGGCGCCAAGGCTGCATCGGACAGTCTCTGATCATCGGAGCATCTCAGGCTCACAGGAATCCGTTGCGACGGTTCGGTGAGAGAAGAAGAGAGTGGGATGGAGATGTACATGATCACTGGGGCGCGAGCCTCCGTGCCATGCGACAGGACTGGTTGGGCCGCTTCCAGATGGCCTTCCTTGTCGTTGTCCTACCACCAGCGGCTGGCGGGCAGGCAACAGGCAGGCAATCAAATCACGCCCCCGCCAATCTATTGAGTAAAACACAATGCTTTGCTGCCTTTCCAGCGTACCGTTGGTGGGGAGTCACGCCAGTTCTTTGACTCGCGGGGCTGTGAAACCGGTAAGTCTTCAGCGCGATCCAGTTGATGCTTGCGAAGAAACCTGGTCAGAGACACAAATGTAAGGCTTTCGTTGGGACGACTGGCTCTGTACAATTTTGTACAATTGACTGTCGGGGATCATGCTGAAGAAAGTCTGAAGGGGGCATCCCGTCAAGATGCCGCGTGTCCTCGTCGCCTTGGGTTTTGGGGGAGGTGGGACGTCAACTTTTGATTGCCATGGCGCGGAGACCAGGACCTGCCAGTTTGGATAGCGTTGTGACGGCATGCGGAGGAGGAGGCCGGTCGGTTGTGTCAGCGTTCTTGGCTCCCGGCCACGCGGTTCAGGCATTTCTTCATGCTGCACGTTCGTCTCCCTCTGGTGACCAGATCTGGCGAGCAGAAGATAAACTAGCGACGCAAAGGAAAACAACCATTCCTTGAGCGGCGACGGCGGAGGTTGCCGTTCTGAACAGCAGCGGAGAGGAGGCCGCCTGAAGCTGGACAATTCGCGACGGAGCATTTGGCCCTTTGCGACCGAGTCGGGGCCCTCTTTCGACACATTTGGGATTCGAAGTCCCAAGGCAGATCGGCGATGATGGACGCCTCCCGGATAAATTGCCTGGGATTTGCCAGTGTTCGCCGTCGAGGACACCGGTCCTGGGCGCGCGTCTCTCTCACCGTGGCTGTTCGGGGCGGCGCGGCGTTTGCTGGCCAATGTTCAAGGGGAACAAGGGGGGAGAGGATGGGGGAGAGGGCCGGCACGTGCAGGAGGCCCACAATGGGAAATCGAGGTCATGTCGCTGAGGCCAGAAAGAGAGAGTCCAGAACACCAGCGGCCGCTGACGGACCCCACTGGCTGGGGCAAGGCCTGTCGAGCAAGCCCGGACAGCGATCGTGATCGGGCGGCGGTTGTCGTGTAGTGCATCTTCGTGTATTGGCAAGATTGGTAGATTGGTAGGGGTGACCTGGATGACGGCTGCACGGTGGCTGCTCCAGTTGGGAATAGGGGACCCTATTTTGGCTGCTAGCGAGTACATGGTGTTGCTAGCGAGGATGGGGGACTGTGCAGATGGTACGATGGAATGCATGCGCCCGTCGGATCGGATTGTGTGCTTGCGAGGCATCGATTTGTTCAAGATGGCGATGGAGGGGGAGGGAGGGGGAGATTGCCTGCCCTGTCCTAGGTATGGTGCCTGGTGAAGAAGTGAAGAGCTTGCTGCGTTTCTGAGGCTTGAGGCCTGAAGCTGGCCTGGTGGGGAGACGAAGGAGAGGCAACTGCCAGCAGCCAGCAGCCAGCAGCCAGCAGCCAGCCAGCCCTGCCAGTTCTCAGTTCTGCGGTTGCCCGTCTGCCCTGTTTTTGTGCAACTGTTGGCGCTGCCTGCCTGAGGGGCGAAGCAATCGGCCTGACAGGTATGGCCTCAGGCACCTAGGTACCTGGTACCTACCAAGTAGAGGTAGGTAGGGACCGTATGTGGTAGAAAGAAGGCTCCTGATGGAAAACTGCTGGCAGCACGAGGATGAGAAATAGCAACTGGAAAAACAAAAGCCTCCGGGTTGGAAGCGATCATCCCACGAGGGAACCCGTCCTATACCTGTTCCTGTTTCTGGTTCTGCGGCCCTGCCGAGAAACGACCAGTCAACCTGTAGGTACCTCACCTTAGGTAGGTACCTTAGGCGCCTAGGTACCTAGGTAGGTAGGTAAGGTAGGCTCGTAGGCGAGGGATCCGAGTCAGACACGTTGTTTGACAGGCAAGCTGAGCGACAAGTCTCCTACGTCATTTCGTCCCGGGCCTGACGAGAGAGCAACACCACCTCACCCACGGGGACTGGCCACGCTCCGCACTTTGCACTAACGAAGGGACTTGCGCACCAGCGGCCACTACCTCTCCACCTCCCACCCACCACGCACCGTCTGAGAAAGGGCAGCAGCAGCAGCAGCAGCACACCAGCACCTGAGCACACCAGCACCTGAGCACACCAGCACCTGAGCACCTCAGGGCCCTGCAAAGCAAAGCGCTGCAACGAGACGCTAACAACGCATACCTGCCAAACTACCCAAAGTCCTCTTGAGCGACTCCTTTGCCTCTGGCCCTGGCCCTGTCACCACCACCACCACCACCACCAACCTCGATCGCATTCTTCCCACTCCTCCTCCTCCGCCACGCCTCACTGCACCTGCAGCCTCTGTTTTTTTCCCCCTTTGGCCTGCTCACCACTCAGCCCTCTTCGCGAGCCTCGAAATATTGACTTGATTGCTTCCATTGTCCACCAGTGTGAGAGCGATACACGCCCAGCGACGATACTACGAGAAAGCCGGCTTTGTATCGTCTCTCGTCACCGCTTCGATACCGACCTCTCTCGTCTCGCCTTCCGTCTGTTTTCCCCCTTCGGCGCTACGACACGCCACTGCGCTTTGGACGACAAGACTTTCTGCACGCTCGTGTAGCGTCGTTCTCTCTATGAGGAATGCCCAGCCTCAACTCCCCGGGAGACAAGAAAGGCTCGTCCTTTGCGCGACGAATTAGCCTTCCCCGACGATCCTCTTCTTCCGATACCACAACGACCCCCGCGGCTGCCGCCAACGCCGCCGAGCGCAACGCGCCTCCGCCGAGTCCTCGTCATGGAATAGGCGCCGAGTCGCCAGCTGCTGCCAAAGCGCGACCAGCCATGCCCGCCCCAAACTCGCAATACCCTCCTGGCCGCGGCCACCCGAGCCCAAGCCCGCGTACTGTGAGCTTTGCCGATGACCTCGCCACTCGCAAAAACACCAAAGCCGGCCCGCCGAACCAGCACCCGCCCACGAACACTGACGACGTCGCTTTGCCCCACGTCGACTCGCAGCAGCAGCTCAACCAATACCGAGAACAGCTCGCCCGCGATCTCGAGCGACGTGAGCTCGCCAACAGAGGTCCCGCCACCGACCACGCCAGCAAGAGTCGCGTTTCGCCGATCCAGGAGGAGGAGGCTGCTGCTGCTGCCGCTGCCGCCGCCGCCGCTGCCGAACATGTTGCCAGCGTTGCGTCCATCTTGAGTTCGCCCCATGCCTTGAGCTCCGGACGGGCCTCTGTCGCGTCTACGGAATCCGGCAACACCATCCGCGGCGGCATGACCCCGGGCTACGTCGCCGCTACGCCGTCGTACCCCTTCCCCCGGATGACGACGCCAGGCATGGGCCCGGGCTTCATGCACCGTCCTTTTGCCAACCTCTCGCCTTCGACTCTCAACTTCATGTCCCAGACCATGTCCTTTGACCACTTTGCCCACGACAAGGTCCTGTCCAACTCGTCGACGCCGGCGTCCACCATGACCTTCCACCCCTCGGGCGCCACGCAGCAGCAGGACTACGGCGATTACCCCACGCCACACCTCTACGACCTCTCTCTGATGCTGGGCGCCGAGCCCGGCTTGGAAGCCTGGTGGGGCACCGTTGTCCAGATCCTGCGCGACGTGTACAAGGCCGAGAGAGTGACCCTCGCCGTGCCAGCTGACAGCACAGATATCGAGAATGTCCCGTGGGGTCAGAAAGCAACATACAACGAGCATGAAGAGGATGAACTGAGTCTTGGCTACATGGCCCGCGGTAGTAGCCTTGTGCCCAGCAGTGCTGACGAGCTCTCGCAAGCCACACCAGCCTCCAACGACTCTTTGCGACCACAGTCCCCAGCACGGCCCGGATTACACAGCCGCCATTCCTTCACCTCGTACGAGAACATCCGAGACCCTGCGGCGGCGGCGGCGGCGGGTGCCGCTCAACAGCCGCCGAGCCGTCGACCCTCCCACTTGTTCCGGAGCCAGAGCTATTTCCCGCCCGGCCGCACACCTGACGATTTCCAGCACGGCAGCAATAACCCGACGCTGAACCAAGCCTCTCTGGCGGAGCACAACGCCGAGGACGAACAGGCGCCTGGCTGGGAAGAGCCCGCCGGGTATCCAAAGGACGGGAAGGGCAGGGTGCTTCCTATGCTGCAGGCTCTGGATTTCGAAGCCGACCCACTCATCGACCACAGTGGCATCACGAGGGTGCTCGAACGAGGCAAGGTCATTGCCCTGACACGCAGCTATCCTTACCTGCAAAACCTGCCGTCAGAACCCCCTGCCGCTACTAAGCCGGGTGATCCTAGCCCTGGGCCCGCCAAGGCACCAGAAGCCGCGGCGAAGAAGAAACGGCCGAAAAGACCTCTGGGCGAATCCAGCACCACCAAGCTGTCGATGCTCCTGGGTGGTGTCGCACACCTCGGTGCTGAGAAGGCCCCGCCGTCAAGCAAGATCTCGCGTCTTGACCAAGAGAGCCCGAAACCCCCGACGCCGCAGTACGAAGAGTATGAGCAGGCACCACCGTCGCCGTGGTCACAGTCGCCTGCCCCTTCGCCTGCCATTCGATCCGACACGAAGGAAAACCCCTTTTTCGCCGACGCCATGGTGGACGAGGACTCCTTCAACCCAACCTCGGTACCAGAAGACTACACTGCCATGCCGCCACCGGAGGCTATCGGCGTTGAGAATTCGTGGACCGTGCTGCACATCCCCTTGACGCATCTGCTCCTCTCCGAACCTCACCGCCCGTTCAAGCTTGACAACGCTGCTTTGGAGCACAAGTCACACACCCGCGCACATGGCATCGGCAAGGTTGAGGGCCAGCCGCCTACGCCTGACGGCTCACGCCGGAAATCCAAATCGACACCCATTGCCATTCTTTCGATTCTGACGCCAGTCTTGCCGTACCCTTCCAACCTTCGACACTCCTTGGAACATCTCGCGCCCCACATGGCGACGTCATTCTCACTCGCTCGTCACTACACCAACCTAGAGACTGAGCTCGCCGGCATGCAACGGCGACGGCCTGCGACGGCTGGCTTTGGCGCCATTCACAGTGATGGACGACCACTGATGAACCCCTCGAACATGGCCAGCTTCAATTTCATGTCTTCCGAGGACATTGCCATGCCCAACTCTCTTGCAGACAGCCTGACTAGCCCCAGCGATTACTCTGGCCTGTCCAAGAGTGCGACCGGATCGCCCAGCGGCACGCCCAACTGGGATCAGAGCTCCCTGGGTATGGTCATGGATGCCAGGACAGGCTCGAGCCCGGCACAGATGGCTGGCGACAGCTACTTTAGCACGCGAACAAAGTCCAACCTCTCCAGGGCCGAGTCTACGTCCAAGAGCAGCATGCCGAGGTCTCGGAGCGGCTCCAAAGATTCACCACCGTTGGAGAAACGTCTGGTCCGGCAGCCTTCCGGCAGAACTGCTCCCCAGGATGGCACGCCGCGACCCGAAGCCCACGCGAGGGAGGCTGCAGGCGAGGGACAAACGTCGAGGAAAGGGTCGGTGGCCGATGAAGAGTCTGCAGGGGTACCTGAAGCGCGTGCAATGAAAACGCCAGAGGCAAACCAGTCTCGCCACACGCTGTTGCATTCCTATGGAGCCGATTTCGCGACCAGCTTCCAGTCGCTACCCCCAAGCTCCAGTGTTGTCAGCAAGCCCACTGCTTACAATCCCCCCTCTCGCGGCGCTTCCATCTCGTCTGGTCCAGTGGATATGCCGCCGCCTTCCGACCGGCTCAAGGGCCTCATGCTTGACGCCCTTCCCGCCCACGTCTTCGTCTCTCTGCCTCAGTCTGGTGAGGTGGTCTGGGTCAACAGTCGTTATCTGACGTATCGCGGCCAAACCGTTGCGGATCTAGCAGCTGATCCCTGGGGTAGCATTCACCCAGAAGATCGTGATGATTACCTGAAGGCGTGGGGTCATTCTCTGCGCACGGGGGAGCAGTTCTCGAGAACAGTTCGAATCAAGCGATTCGATGGCGCCTACCGCTGGTTCTACGCCCGAGCTGTCGCCTCGAGGGACAAGCGAGGCGTGCTCATGCAATTCCTGGGTTCGTATATGGACATTCATGACCAGCACATTGCCGAACTCAAGGCTGCGCGACAAGAAGAGATCGAGACGTCGGAAGCCAAACATCGCTTGCTGGCGAACCTCATTCCGCAGATTATTTTTACCGCTACCGAGGACGAAGGCATCACGTTCGCCAATGACCAGTGGCTGTCCTACACCGGTCAGAGTTTTACTGACTGTTTGGGGTTGGGATTCATGGATTTTGTGCATCCAGAAGATCTAGCCAAGTGCCAGATTCCGACAGACCGGCCACCAACTCCGATGCCACACAAGGGTCACTTCAGCAAAACGTCGTGGGGCGAGCCGCCACTCGACAGCCCTCACCGGACGCAGACAACACCAGCGACCGATTCGAATATTCGAGGTGTCCATCAGGCACTCTCTCGCAACAACAGCTCAAGCAGCAGCTCCGTATATGAGTTGCCCACAGCTGACCTAACAGAGCTCGCGAGAAAGGGTATCATCAAGGTCTCCACAGACAGCAACGGCAGACTCTCATACACGACCGAGGTCCGGCTTCGTTCCAAGAAGGGCGCCTATCGATGGCATCTTATCCGGTGTGTCGAAATCGACAACATTGACTTTGGAAGCGGCGCAAGCTCCTTCTTCGGTTCAGCCACAGACATCAACGACCACAAGCTACTCGAGGCCAAGCTCAAAGAGGCTATGGAATCGAAGAGCCGGTTCCTCAGCAACATGTCGCACGAGATTCGCACCCCTCTCATCGGAATCTCTGGCATGGTCAGCTTCCTCCAGGATAGCGTGCTGAACGAGGAACAGCGGGACTATACGAACACGATCCAAACGAGCGCCAACAGCCTTCTCATGATTATCAACGACATTCTCGACCTGTCCAAGGTCGATGCTGGCATGATGAAGCTCAAGTATGAGTGGTTCCACACGAGAGCCCTGATCGAGGACGTCAATGAGCTTGTCTCGACCATGGCCATTGCGAAACGGCTCGAGCTCAACTACGTCGTCGAACAAAACGTCCCGACGTGGATTAAAGGAGACAAGGTCAGGATACGACAGGTGTTGCTCAACGTCATCGGTAATGCCATTAAATTTACCTCGGAAGGTGAAGTCTTTAGTCGCTGCAGAGTGTACACCTCGGAGACGGCCATGCTCATGCCCAACGAAATCATGCTCGAATTTGCCATCATCGACACGGGCCGCGGCTTCACAGAAGAGGAGGCGGAGCTTATTTTCAAACCATTCAGCCAGATCGACGGAAGCAGCACCAGGCAGCACGGCGGTAGCGGTCTGGGTCTCGTCATTTCCAGGCAGTTGGTCGAACTTCACGGAGGTGTCATGGAGGGCACGGCAGTTCCTGGCAAAGGCTCAACCTTTACTTTTACAGCCCGTTTCACCTTGCCGACCGAAAACGATCATCCCGACGTCCCTGTGAGTCCGGACATCATGGCATCACAGCCGAAGCCAAGGGTGTCGTCATCCGAACCGAAGCAACCAGCAAGCAGACGCCTCAGGGACGAAGCCATGGCGCGAACCAGCCCCTCGACTGACGAGGGCACAACCTCGACAGCTTCTAGCGGCAGCTCTGTGCCGTCCACCCACTCTGGGCGTTCGCAAGACACCGGGCGGTCGTCCGTGTCGTCGATCAACGTGGGCCTCGTCCACTTTAGTGAGGCCGCTCGCGCGAGTGGACAAGACTTGTCGCAGATGAAATTGGAGATACCGCCAAGCGACACGTCCAGTGATGCCACGCCAACCAACGACTCGAACAAGATGCTGGGCGCAGCGGAAGAGTTCCGACCACCAATGTACTCCATCCTCATCATTTGCCCCCAGACGCACAGTCGTGAGGCTACAACCCAGCACATTGAGCAGACGCTGCCCAAAGAGGTGCCGCGTCAGATTACTGCGCTCAAGTCCATGGTGGAGGCAGACAAGCTCATCGGCGGCGACGACCCTGTTCACTTTACGCACATTGTCCTCAACCTGCCCTCGCCCGAGGAACTTGTCGCGACGATGACCAAGATTGAGCGCAATGTGGTGACGGACAAGACAACGGTCCTCGTTCTCTCGGACACGGGTCAGCGGCAGGCGGTGATGAAACTGGTGGCCGAGTCGAAGCAGGAGGCGCTGCTGTCGGAGGAACGCGTGACATTCATCAACAAGCCGGTCAAGCCGTCCCGTTTTGCCGTCATCTTTGACCCCGAGAAGGTGCTCGACTCGAGCATCGACCGCAACCGGTCGACGGCGCAGCGCATGGTGGAGAGCCAAAAGGCCAGCTACGAGGAGATCGGGAAGCGCATGGGCAATAAGGGGTACAAGGTGCTTCTCGTCGAGGACAACTCTGTCAACCAGAAGGTGCTGCAGAAGTACCTTAAAAAGGTCGGCGTCGAGGTCGAGGTGGCGGCGGACGGCGTCGAGTGCACGGATATGGTGCTGGCGCGGGGCCACGAGTACTACTCTCTCATTCTGGTTCGTTTCTCTGCCCTGTTTCCTTGTTCTCCTTCTCCCTCTCCCTCTATCTCTCTCTCTCTCTCTCTCTCTCTCTCTCTCTACTGACAATCATGACAGTGCGATCTCCACATGCCGCGCAAAGACGGCTACCAAGCGTGCCGCGAGATTCGAGAGTGGGAAGTCAACAATCGGCTGGCTCGCATGCCCATCATTGCCCTGTCGGCCAACGTCATGTCGGACGTGCAGGACAAGTGCGTGGCGGCCGGGTTCAGCGACTACGTCACCAAGCCGGTGGACTTTATCAGCCTCAGCAGAGCCATGAGCAAGTTCTTCTGAGGGTTCTGGACTATCGCATTTTTTCCAGTTCATTTTGCCACGACTTTGATTCGGTTCGCATGGCAAGCGGGTGGGCACGCGTTTGCTGTTCGCCATGTTATGCATGGAGGGGGAGGGTAGGAGGGAGAAGCGAGGCGGAGGAAGTGAAAGCGTCAGAGGCTGATGGGTCGAGGTTACATGATCAAACGTATGGGACACGGGGGGCATAGGGACGCGGAATACGGAGGGGCATACAAGGGCGTACGGCGTTGTTTACTTTTCATGCCTTTTCGTCTGTTTTATCATTTTTTTCTGTTGCTTTTTCAAATAATTCCAGGTCTGTTGGCCTCTGGCTTCTGTGCGTGAGACCAGAGTTACAGGGGCAGGCGGATGCTTGGGTGTACTAATGCGTATGAGGAGGGAAGCGGAAGAAAGGGGCCAAGCATGTGGGCAGCATCCAGGGCGGATGGGGGCTAGAGGGGCACGTGGAGCGTGGAACATGGCATGATTAGAATAGGTGCAAAAATACCCATCCGGTTTCTGTGCGAGCTGCTTCTCTTCGAGGGGTTTCCAGTGGGCATTGTGGTGTCAAGCCGCTTGATGAACTACATTGACCGCTGGGGCTTCAAGTACCTAGGTGCCTTATGCCTTGCCTACCTATGGTACAGCCCAAGTGGGTGGCTGCAATGTGGCAGAGTGAGAGAAGGCGTCGGGTGAGGCGGCGCCACAGCGGGGATGGCTCCTGCCTGGCGTTGCGCCTGGGCAACGAGTCGTCGTGTGCCACTTGCCCGCTGTAACTTTTGCTGTGAATGCACCATCCGTGGCCTCACGGCTGACTTGAGTACCTACCTTGCTACGTATCTCAGACACGGCGCTCTTTCACCCGCCAAGCTGTTCGGCACGCCTCTCTTGGCCTTCGACTCTGGGCCCCAGGGCTGGCGGCCGTCGAGAACCATTCAACACCAATGGCTGGCAAGACCCAAAGACCTTTTCACCTGCCTATCTGATGCTGGGTCTCCGGGCCCTGGTCGCTGGTCGCTGGCCGGGGGGGGTCCGTCGCGTCATCCAGTGGGCGGATGGGGTAGGATGATTAGCTCGCACTCGGAGGGACAGGGCGGGGGCAATCCCTGGAGAATCAAGGTTGAGGTGGCTTCGAGTAAGCTTCTTTTCTTCCCGCCCATCCTGTCCAGAAGCGATATCCCGTACTGATCTTATCGGCGTCATCACGACCGTGCGCCTCGCTGCATTCGAGGAACCTGTGGCCGCTGGGGAATGCCATGGGCATGAAATGTCCCTACGATGGATTGGCAGACGCGATACTAGCCGTCCCCAAGGACAGGGTCGTCGACACTCAGAGAAAATTCACGTCCCAGCCTTCATCCGGACCATTCGAACCCCCCCAGCCCTTGGCTGTGGCCCGCCGACGACCCCTCACGAACGTCGACCTTCCCGATGTAGCAACTGCCATGACAAGCCCTGCCGATCCGCACGCCGCCGCGGTGGAACGCCACCAGGGGAGGCGACAAAACATTTCATTCACCGAGGGGATCCGAATCCAGTGCAACCTTGCTTTGTGGAGGGAAGAGAGAAAGAGTGCGCGCGCGCGCGAGAGGAATCGTGGATAAATAACATGGCTCTCCCCCAGGCCGCAGCCCGTTGCCACGCCTCTGGGTCAGGTCTAGCTAACGCTGACATTCCTGTCGATCCGTCTCGCCGACGGCTTCTCACACACACTTCGGTCCCTCGTCCGCAGCCATGAAGTTCTCCCAGACCGCGGCAGCCCTGCTGTCGCTGGCTTCTGTCACTGCTGCCGCGCAGTGCAAGCCCAAGATTGAGTCCGAGGCGTTCCAGGCCGAGATCAAGACGGAAAAGTGAGTGCGCCCTCGTCCGGCCCTCATTGCGCCACCATGTTGGTATCGTGTTGACATTCTGCAGCCTCTGGTCTCACCTCGTCGCCCTCAACGACATTGCCTTCAAGGTCGGCGGCGGCAACCGTGCGTTTGGTCTTCCCGGCTATGCTGCTTCGGTCGACTACATCTGGTCGCACATCTCCAACGTGACGGCGACCAAGGCCTGGAAGCAAGATTTCCCCGCCTGGTTCGGCATTGTCAACTCCATTTCCTTTTCTGTGGACGACAAGGACTACTACATCTACGGCATCTCGTACTCTCCCTCGACCCCGAAGGAGGGCATCACGTCCGAGATTGTCCTCGGCCCCGCCGGCGCCGCCGGCTGCGATGCCAAGAACTACGAGGGCCTCGACGTCAAGGGCAAGATTGTCCTGACGCAGCGCTTCCGCTGCCCCACGGGCGGCACCCTCGCCGGCCGCGTGCGCCCTGCTGCGGCGGCCGGTGCGGCGGGCGTCATCATCTACCACGACATTGAGACGCTGCCGACGGCCGGCTCGCTCGGCGAGGTCAACATGAGCGCGTACGTGTCGACGGGCTTCATCCGCAAGGCCGACGGCGAGGCGCTCGCGGCGCGCATCCAGGCTGGCGAGAAGGTCGTCGGCTTCTTCCAGCACGACCAGCTCGTCGAGGAGCGCATCACGCAGAACGTCTTTGTCGAGACGGAGGAGGGCGACCCGCACAACGTCATTGTGCTCGGCGCCCACCTCGACTCGGTGCAGGCGGGGCCCGGCATCAACGACGACGCGTCGGGCTCGAGCCTGATCCTCGAGGTGTTCAAGGCGCTGCAGAAGTACCGGTTCAAGAACAAGGTGCGGTTCGCGTGGTGGGGCGCCGAGGAGAACGGCCTGCTGGGCTCGCGGTTCTACACGCAGAGCCTCGAGGCGGCCGAGGTCGACGACATCCTGGCCTACCTCAACTTTGACATGGTGTCCAAGGGCTACTTTGGCGTCAGCGACAACGACGGCAGCACGCACGGGTCGGTGGCGCCGCGCGGGTCGGAGACGATTGAGGCGATTTACGTCGACTGGTTCGAGAGCCAGGGCCACGTCGTGACGCCGGCCGTGCTCACCAACGGCAGCGACTACGCCTCGTTCTGGCAGGTCCTAGGCAAGCCCTTTGGCTTCCTCAACACGGGCACCGGCGTCGCCCAGGACCCGTGCTACCACCAGGCCTGCGACACGATTGACAACCCCGACCGCGAGACCATTACCGTCAACGCCAAGGCCGCCGCCCACATGCTGTCGATCCTGGCGGTGAACGGCACCGCCATTATCCCCAAGCAGACCGTCAACGCCACCATGCTCAACGACCTCCGCGCGCGCCATGTCGGGCCCGAGGTCATTGACATTGCCGAGCTCGAGGCGCTTGGCGAGAGGCATCTTGGCTGCGGTCACGATCTGTGAGGTGGCCCGAGACGGAGGGTGTTAGAGAAGCAGCAGCATCTGGTGTAGCATAGGCGTTGTCGTTGGCGTTGCATGTGTGTTGTGGCTGGTGTAGTATAGGCATGGTGAATGAGAGATGATGTTGATGATAAGATGCCAAATATGCGCTGTCAGGGTTGTCCCAATCGTTGACTGATTGTACATCCAAGGGGGGAACAGATTAAGCCGCACTCCAAATCAGCCAAACACAGGTATCATCCAGAAAGACTCCTAACTTCGGAACCCTCTCAATAACTCGTATCTTGATCAAATGCTCTAAAATCCCACCTACTACATAATCAACGACCACTATTAAGGGCAAATCTGTTTTTACAAGTTTTAAGCTGATATTCAATATAATAGAACGGTTCAAAGTAAGGTCACCTCTAAGGAATATGGCTTTTTTTGGTTCCCCCTTGACATCCTACGAACGCTGGAGACAGGAGACAGATCGCATGGGAACATGGCCAAGCCGCCCCATCATTTTGACTGGGTCTTTACCGGGTCTTTACTGGATCTTTTACCGTGTCTTTACTGTCTGCTGTGTCTTTACTGGCAAGACTGGATCTCAGCAATGGATTCCGATGGAACGTCGCTGGAGTTTCGCTGAGGAAGGATCGACAACCCCTCAATGGCGGTCGCGACTGCCCTGTTTCCCATTGCGTTGCCCCTCACTTCTCCACGTGATCACGGCACTCCACCACCTCTGAACAAAAGCACAACGAAGACGAGCTCATCTTTCAAGTCATCTAGCTATCGAGACTCTCCTTATATTTCATCTGCGTCTTCCGTGCGACATCTGCATCTCCCGTGCGACATCAACTCCTGTCGACCCACGCATCTCACCTCATCCCCTCCGAAGACAAAACACCCCGCCCGCCAGTACACGATGGCAGACGCAACCCCTTACCCCCGCCCCGATCACCACCGCCCCAACCTCCGGTGGCAGTCCCTCAACGGACCGTGGTCTTTTCTCTTTGACGACGACGACGTCGGTCTCACCCAGACATGGCACAAGACCGGCCTGCCGGCCTCCGTCGCGCTGAGTGCCCCGGCCGCCGCGGCCCAGACCAAATCGGCGACGGCAGCCGAGGGCGACTCCATCACCCAGCGCATCGCCGCCGGCACCCAGGACCTGCTGGCCAACAACGTCTTCGCCCGCGCCGACGCCCAGACGCACGACAAGCGCACCATCACCGTGCCCTTTGCCTTCCAGACGCCGGCGTCGGGCATCAACGACCGCGGCGTCCACGAGGTGCTGTGGTACGAGCGCGCCGTCGCCGACCCGCGCACGGCCGCAGACCGCGCCGCGGGCCAGAGGGTCCTGCTGCGCTTCGGCGCCGTGGACTACGAGGCCACCGTGTGGATTGACGGCCACCTTGTCGGCGGCCACCGCGGCGGCCATGTGCCCTTTGAGCTGGATGTCTCGGATGCGCTGCGCGAGGGCGGCCCTCGCCGGCTTACGGTTCGCGTCTTTGACTCGGCGTATGACCTGACCCAGCCGCGGGGGAAGCAGTACTGGGGCCCCAAGCCGGAGAGCATCTTCTACACGCCTTCCGGGGGCATCTGGCAGTCTGTCTGGGTCGAGGTTGTGCCGCCGGCACGCATTGCTGATAGCAGTGCGGGGACCGTGATTCGGTCGACTGACATTGAGACGGGGACGCTGCGGAGCAATGTGGCGGTCCTCGGTCGTCGTGTCGGGCAGGCGCTCGAGGTTGAGATTGAGGCCAGTCTCGCCGGTGTGCCCGTTGCGACGTCGGAGCGCAAGGCCCTTTCGAAGGAGTCGAATGCCGTCGCTGTCGAGCTCGATCTTCGTCTGTCAGAGGAGAAACGCAAGCAACTGCCGCCCGCTTTCCTTGTCGGAGCGCCTTTCGAGGATGATTCTGCCTGGCGCGAGGGCCTCGCTCTCTGGTCGCCGGAGCACCCTTCCCTCTACGACCTCACTCTCCGCCTATATGACTCTGCCGGTGCCGTTCTCGACGAGGTCGCCACCACGACGGGCATGCGGTCCATCGCGTGGGCCCAGAACGACGGCCACTGGCGGCTCAACGGGCGGCCGTACTTCCAGGCGCTGTGTCTCGACCAGGGCTACTGGCCTGAGACGCTCATGACGCCGCCTTCGCAGGAGAGCCTCAAGGAGGACATTCTGCTGGCGAAGCGCATGGGACTCAACGGGTGTCGCAAGCACCAAAAGGTCGAGGACCCCGTCTTCTACTACTGGGCCGATCGCCTGGGCTACCTGGTCTGGGGCGAGATGGCCAATGCCTACCAGTTCAGCGCTGCGTACATGGAACGGTTCGACGAAGAGTGGGCGGCGAGCGTGCGGCTGGCGGTCAACCACCCTTCCGTCGTGACGTGGACGCCCGTCAACGAGAGCTGGGGATACCCGTCGCTCAAGGACAGCATTGAGCAGCGGAACCACATCCGCTCGCTGTACTACCTCACCAAGACGCTGGACCCGACGAGAAGCATCAACGACAACTGCGGCTGGGAGCACGTCATGACCGACCTCACGACCTTTCACGACTACGCCGACGGGCCGCAGCTCGCTGAGAATTGCGCGACCATGGACAAGATCCTCGACACCAAGGCCGGGCGCGACATGTTTGTGCCAGCCGTTGCCGGTGACGCCGGCTCCCGACACAAGCAGGGTGCGCCCGTCATGTGCACCGAGTTTGGCGGCGTCAACATCGCGGCGGCCAAGGGCAAGGAGGGCGACGACAGGGACTGGGGGTACACGACGGCGGCCGATTCGGAGGACTTGCTCAAGAGAATTGAGAGGCTCGTGCGGGGCGTCGTCGAAGGGGGCCACTGCTGCGCGTTTGTGTACACGCAGCTCGCTGACATTGAGCAGGAGACGAATGGGCTCTACACGTTTGATCGCAAGGACAAGCTCGACGCCGCGAGGGTCAAGGCGCTCATTGAGGAGGCGCTCAAGGCGTTCTATGCGAGGGTAGAGGGGCAGTACGTGTCGGCACAGACGATGAGCAGTAGAATGAGCAGCCCATAAACGAATCACGCTGCATCCAGACAGGGTTCACACTCAACATTAGATGTTTATTATCATGAGATACAAAGCGCAACCTCCTCTTCCTCGGTCCTCCCCTACGCCGCCGCCTCGAGCAGACGGCGCTTGCACTTTTGGCTGAGATATTTCAGCACAAACGGCACGCTCTCGACGACGACCCAGTCATCCTTGTTGTCGCGGTCGCCGTGGATGCGCAGCGCGCTGGCGACAAACTTGTACGCGCCCTCGGGCGCGACGGTGCCGTCGGCGAGGCGGCCGTCAAAGTTGTGCGTGTACCCGATCGTCGGGGCATAGTAGAGGGGCGTCCGCGGCAGGCTGCCGACTATGGTGTAGCCGAGCCAAGGCTTGGTCGTGGCGTTGCCGCTGTCGCTGCCGCTGTCGCTGCCGTTGTGGAGGGGCACGAGGTCGACGTGCAGCTCTGGGGTGCCGATCGTGGGGATGGCGACCATCTTGGGCAGCACCGAGGGGGCCCAGGTGCTGCCGGGGCGGGGGATGGTGAAGGTGCGGTTCGCGGCGACGGGGATCAGGAAGTGCGTCTCGGTCGAGGAGAGGTAGACGCCCGTGTGGGCGACCCTCTGGTTGTGGAACGGGGGGAAGTCGTGGAGGCTGCCGGCGAGGCCGACGTACGGCAGCGTCAGACGGGCGGCGCCTGGGGACGAGGGCGTGATGGTGATGTAGCCGCTGTAGACGGGGAGGCGGCCGGCGTCGAGTCCGGCGGGAGGCGTCAGCGTGAAGGTGACCTTGGCCGAGGCACCGGCGGGGACGGTCACGGTATCGCTCTCAAAGGCGATCGAGGCCCAGGCGTCGGCGGTCGGCGGCGGGAAGCGGGCGATGGTGAGCATGTCGTCGGCGGAGAAGCTGTAGGCGGTGGCGGCCTTGGCGTGGCCGAACGTGTAGGTGACGGCCTCGGCGGCCGTGTTCTCGAGGGTGAAGGTGCGCTTGGGCGTAAAGTTATCCGTGTCGTTGAAGGAGAAGCTGCTGGTGTCGACGAGGGTCGTGGCGTGGGCGGCGTCGTAGGCCTGGACCAGGCCGGCACCCTGCTGGGGCACGGGCGCGAGCACGTCGTCGTGCGTCGTCTTGCCGTCGAACCAGGGCAGCGGCTTGGCCGTGCTGGACAGCACGTTGCGCAGGGCCTGCGCGTTGAGCGTCTTGCGCGCCTGGCCGACGAGACCGTAGATGGCGGCCGCGAGCGGCGCCGACATGGACGTGCCCGGGTTCACGGCGTAGTCGCCCTCGCCCCAGGTCCACGTCGACAGGATGCCGCCGCCGGGCGTCGTGAACTGCGGCTTCACCACCATCTCCCACGAGGGACCCCAGCTGGTGAAGCCGCTCGTCAGGCCGGCGCCGGGCCCGTTGCTGAGGTCCTCGGCCCAGATGCGCGCCGACTCGACGGGGGTCATGGTCACGTCGATCTGCTGACCAGCCCTCAAGGCCTTGAGCCACGCGGCAGCCTGGGCAGGGGACACGACGAAGACGCCCTCGATGCCTTTGGTGTACACATAGGTGGCCGCCACGCGGGCATCGCTCTCGGGGTAGTAGATGATGTGCTTGCCGCCCTTGGTGACCAAGTTGGCGGCCTGGTTATCCGAGTTGCAGTTGACGGTAAAGGGGAGTAGAATGGCGACGCCATTGAGATCAGGCAAGTCGGCGGGCACAGAGGTGCAGGCGTACGTCGTCAGGTCGCTGGCGTTGGCGGCGGGCGCCCAGAGACGCACCGTCGTGTTGGTCTGGAGGATGGGGTTCCCCTCTAACCAGCCGAAGCCGTGGGAGCCGGTGCCGTTGGTGAATTCGCCCCTCGTCATGATGGTCGGCAGCTTGGTGTTGTCGACGGAGCCGATGGCGGCGACCTCCCTGCCCGAGGCCGGAGACGCCGCGTTCCACAGGCCGAGACCGCCCGAGTTGCCGGTGGCCACGGTGACGGGCACGCCGGCGGCGGCGAGACGAGACACGGCGTCGGCAGCAGCGTCGCTCGAGAATCCAGAGTCGTCACCGGCCGACAGAGAAACGACATCGGCCCCCTCGTCGTGGGCGCGGGTAGATGCCGGCCACGAGAAGCTCGCTCGTCGCGAAGCCAGCGCACCCGCTCGTCTTGTAGACGCCGAGCGTCGCGTCGGGCGCCGCGCCCGTAATCCGAGCTCGTTCGCCTGGGCCGCCACGATGCCGCTGACGTGGCGTGCCGTGGCCCTGGCATGTGTCGATGGGGTCATTGTCGGGCTTGAGGTTGCCGCCCTCGTCAAACTCGTCGCCCG